CGGCGCCTCCGCCGAGCGGGCGTCCGGAAACCGGGACCCGCCCCGCCGCCGGCGCCACCGGCCAGCCCGAGGGCTCCCGGCCGAGCGGCGCCCGAGCGTTCCCGAGCGCTTCCGAGCCGAGTCCGACCTCTACCGAGCTGCGCCCGAGAGTTTCCGAGTTGCGTACGAGCGTTCTCGAGCTGGGTACGAAGCGTTTCCGACTGGCGCCCGAGAGTTTCCGAGCGCTGCCCGAGAGTTTCCGAGTGGCGCCCGAGCGGGCCCCGAGCGGCGCTGAGCAGGCCGGGAATGCGGCTGAGGGGAAGCCGGGCCTGTAGCATCGCGGGGCGGCGAGTGAGGCTTGTGTGGGGCGGTGAGTGGGGCCGAGGTGGCCTAGAGGGGGGGATGCGGGGAGGGGTGTGCGGTCCCGTGCCCCCTCTCTCCTCCGGTGTGTGTTTACGGCTGTGTGTCTGCGGTCGGGGCCTCCCCAGAGCTCCCCCCCCCCACCCCCGTTTGTGGCCGTCCCTCAGCCCCTGCAGTATGTCCTGACACCCCTGGGTCTGTGAGGGGCTGAGGAGGGGAGGGGGAGGTTTATGTGTGTGTGTGTGTGTGGGCAGGGCAGTGTGTGTTTTCCTTTCGAGTCTGTGTGTCTATGTCTCAGTGTGTAAGGCCGGGCTGTCCCTGACCCCTATACGTGTCCATGTACTGTCTCTAGAGCTGGGGCTCTCCCTGACCATCCCCTGTACATGAGCCCACCCTGGCTGTTGCCATTCCCCTCTCTCTCTGCCCACTCTCTGTTGTTTTGGTTTGTTTTTTTTCTGTTGGCAGGTGTGCAGCAGGGCTGTCCAAGCCATGATCGAGGTGTTGGCCAAGCTGGGCCGTGGGCCCGTCTTCCTGGCAGGGGAGGTGCTGGAGTGCGTGATCACCTTCACCAATCCCTTATCGGCCTCATCTACCTCCGCCAGCAGGTACGACAGCCTGTGCTGGTGGGGCATTCTGTGCGTGAACCCTCAAAGTGTCTGGGTCCCTCCAGAGGAAACAGCCCTCCTTCCCTCCAGAGCAGCCCAATGTAATCATGGTTGGGCAATGGTGCCAGCTCAGCCCCTGATGACTTCCCGACCTGAGGTACTCCCTTAAGGGTGCTTTGTTCAGGGGCTCTGTGAGGGCTGAAAAGGAGGTGATTATTCTGGTTTTCTGCCCCCAAGAAAGAGGTGAGAAAAAAGGTATGCAGTTAGAGATGCTCTTAACTGCCCCTCAGGTGAGCCCCTAGTGACAGGGTTACTGGCCGAAAATGAAGCCAAACTGGCTGTTAAAACAGGATATCTAGTCACACCAGGGTGACAGGTGTGGGCAACATCCAGGCAACGTCATTATTTCCTACGTTTGTGGAAGGAACTCTCTCTGTCCAGCAGTGCACTGACGTATCAGTGTGATCCCTGCCTCCAGAACTGGCAGGCAAAGGGACAAGCGCTGTCTAGAGTCAGAAAGAGGCAGCATTTTCTGTGAGCCAGCCTTTGAGCGCTGAATTGCCCCTTATCGTTACTGTGCCCAGAATAGGTGTTGAGGAAACGTGAGAAGATGGGAGCTCCCTATGTTGGCTCACAGGGGGTGACTCCACAGCATGAGGAGTCACCCAAAGCCTCCACGTCCGCTGAGTGTGTGGCCTAGTCTGAGTCTCCAGGGGGTGGAGAGTGCTTTCTCATCTTGAGCCCTTTTTGGGAAGAGCCAGTTTCCAGCCCTGTCATGTTCAGCATCTTTTCATCACCAGTACACGTTTCACATATGATTGTTACGGTGGACCCGCTTTCAGTGCTTGCAGTCTTGGCAGCAGCAAATCAGGCTCTTTTATTACCTCTGTAGGGCTTCTTTGTTTATTGCCTTCCTTAGCTTTCCATCCTGGAAGGCTTCCTGGTTCCTCTGGCCTGCTGAATTCAGCTTTCAAATTCAGCTGTGGCATAAGCATCTAGTTTTCTGGAGTTTTGTCTTGTGTACTGACAGTGCTGGTTTTCCCAGTTCGGAAATATGTGGGACTGCAAAGGTAGCAGGTGGAGCAGTTTTGGAGGTTCGCAGCGCGGTTACAGGAGCTTCATTTGGGGACTTCAGGTGTGTCATGGTCTGTAGGAAACTGCCTCTTAGAAGAAGAAAAGCTTTTAAACTAAAAAAGCAGGTGACCAAACTGATGAGACCCAGCTAAGTCATATGAGTGACAACACCAAATAGATTGGTGGTTTGGAAATTGAAGCTGTGGGTTGCATAAAGGCAGGCGCCAGGTCAAAGCACAGTCACTGCAACAGGCAGACAGACCTGTTGGGGACTGGAAGCTTTCAGGGCTAGTAAAAGCTGTGGCGCAGGTGGGAGGACTGAGAGGCATGCAGTTCAGGCACAGGGACAGAACTGGCAGGCAGTAAGGAATTGGCAGAAAGCAAATTTTCTTGTGGTGTACAAGGCGTACAGGAAACAAAGCTCTTCTGCCCAAAGGCTGCATGGAGCGCAGCCCTCGTGGGCTACGGGAGTTGTGGGGGGAGGTGAGAGAGGAGGGAACTGACGGTCAGCACCAGAGCAGGATCTTCCCACATCCTTTCCAGCTGGACAAGCCAGGTCTGCTGGTAGGAAGGCATGTGCAAATTTTGTTTGGGCATCAAGTTAAAAAAAGAGGACAATCCAGTGGCATATTGTTAGGCGATACTGAAAACAAATGAGGGGGGAAAAAAAGGTTAAAAATACAGTCTTTGAAGGTACTGTAATCAGGCTAAACATACATAAAATTAGTAAACATTGTCTTTTATCAAGAGCCTTCCTCTGTTTCCATAAAGCTCATAGCTTATGACAGAAAAACTTAGGGCAGCCCTTATGGGAAGGCCTTTTGAAGATACAGAATTGCATTTGTGAGGATAGAGGTAACTGGGTAGAGTAAGCGATGCGTGTTTGGGTAAAGTCAGCCAGCACATACAGAGATCAAATATCCCATTATTAGTCAGCTGAAACGAATGCAGCACGCCTTTCTCTCTGGTTCGTCTAGAAGTTTAACTGCTCTGATGTGTCACGTCGAGAGATACTCATGTGCCACCAAAAATCCCTTTGCCGTCCCTGTGCCATCTAAAATTCTGGTGTCAGTGCTTACTAATCAGATCATGACGTTAGAAAACAGCAGAGGAACCATACACTGGCTAAATTAGCAAGACTGTTATTGAAATAAAAAATAGATGAGTGTTTTGGAAACTGTAAGGTTGTCAGTAATGCCATGGGAAATGCCCTGTGAAATGGCTGAGGCCGTAGTAGAGTCCAAACCATAAGACTATTTTTCATGCTGGATGCAACCAGTTCTCGTGGCTGTATAGGTTGGGCAGCAAACTTTTGCCTCCCCTATAGCCCTTAGTGAATGTGTTGCATTATGAGGAGAAGCCAGGTCTGTATGAAGGACCCAGAAGCATCCTCCTCTGGTTTGAGACAACCAGAAGTTGAAGTTCTTGAGAGGGACAGTGCTGTGGGGAGGAAGCATGTGTGTCCCCTGCCTGCCCCGAGGAGTGTTGAGCTTGGGGCAGCCAGGTGCTGTGGGCATGGATGGCTGAACCCAGGCTGCAGATAGTTGCTGCTTTTGAGCCTGGCCGCTTCCCTGATGGTTGTGTTATTGCTGGAGGTGCCTCAGAGTGCCAGTCCCTTCATGCTTGCTGTAATCTGGGTTTAGAGCACTGACACGAGTGTTGCTCTTCTTTGCTCTCAGCGAGATGCTGGCGTGGGCCAGCGCCCAGATCCACTGCCAGTTTCACACCAGCGAGAACCGGGTGGCGCTCCCTCCTTCCGACGGCAGCAAGCACGACGTGCAGGCGGAGAACGAGACTGTCTTCGTCCCCAACAGAGGTGAGTGTGACCCCAGGTAGGGACAGTGAGAGCACAACCGGCAGGGGTCAAGCACACCATAATGTGAGAGGAACACACGTAGCAATGAGCAGGAAAGCCGTCTTGCTTTTGCTGTGTGATGCCCTGGTGATGGCAGCTGCAGGACCTTGTTGATACTGAGATCATGTTGGTGGTAGCTTGAAGTAAGACTTGAGGGTTATCTTTTCAGCTGTTCTGGGAACGTCTTGTGATCTGACTGGGGCATGAGATACTTCCTTCTCAATCCCTTCTCCTCCCGACTTGTCCCTGTGAGGATGAGGCCTGGCTGGCCTCCCCATGTTGAGTGCCCCCTGAGGCTGGGCAGCATTCAACATGGTTCTTCTTGTCTTCCAGGAGAGCGGGGTCAGTGTATCCTGTCCACTCCACCAAAGATTCTCTTCTGTGACTTGCGACTGGATCCCGGGGAATCAAAGTCCTGTGAGTCCTGTCTTCTCCTCCCTTGCTCAGAGAGCTCGCCTCTGGGGAGCCCCGCTCTCCAAGCTGAGTTTGTGGACCTGAGTGCTGCAAGTGGGAGACCCTGGTGCTCGTGGAAGGCGAGGTGCTTCGGTGGGAGCATGAGTGCTGAGGAACTGCTGCATTGTCCTGACTCAGTTCTCCACCGTATAGGGCTGTGTACTGTACTGTGTCCCTCAGTCCTGCTTCTGGCCCATGTCCTTTGCTGCGTGTCTGTTGTCTAGCTGCAAGGCAAAACATTTTGAAGTACCTGGCTGCAGCTGAAGGTAACAGTTACACACACCTGCATTTCCTTACCTGTATTTCCTCAGCCACACTGGAGTATTCTTGGGATTTAGGCTGACATCCTCTGAATCCATGCTTCCCTTTCTGGTTGTGGTTGTCCTGGAAATCATAGAGTCTTCTGCCTGTTCTTGTTTTCCTGCTCTAAAAGCGAGCACTGCTCGTCTGCTCAAAGCTGTCTGTGTCTCCAAAGCCCTCAAATGTTGTCCTTCCAGTTGGTCCCCTTTGAGCTCTCCTTCAGCGCTACTTTCCCTTTTGCTGTTTTGAGAAATTACCATTCTTTTCACAAGGAATTTGCAGCAACTTGTTTTCATTATTCCAGGCAACAACTTCTACCTTCTACTGAGTAGGCAGTTGTGAAAATACAAGTATGTGCTGTTGTCTCTTGGCTGGTGGCTGTGTGACCCAGTCTGTCGGTTTGTGTCAAGTCTCCTTTGTGGTCCAGTGGCAGTGTAACATTAGGTGTCGCAGGCTGCGTGTGGACACCTTCCTCGGGTTGTCCTAGGGATCTGCTGGAAATAATTGGCAGAGATCTCTCAAGTCACAGAGCCAAAGGAGAGGCAGTGCCAGTGGCGGAGGGGTCTGTGCTGGAGCACTGAGCTCTGGGGAGGTGAGAGCAGAGCTGTAAGACCAAGGAGCTGTGGGCTGTGCCATGCTGGTTTTGAAGTTGGCATCTCCTGCCTTTCTAAGCTTGGAGGGGCCTGAGTGGAAGGAAGAGTGGACAGGGTGAAACCAACCTGGCTTGGGTAGGTGGTTAGTGGGGTGGGGCAGTGCTGTCTGGGGTTGTGTCCCCTAAACTGCAAAGCCTATCGCCGGAGCACGTTTAGTTATTTACTTACTATTCTGTAGCAGCATGAGGGGGAAAGGAGCTGGCCCTGCTGCATCACAGCCAGGGTCCCCTATGCTTTCTGAAAGGGGCCGTGCCAGGGATGAAGAGCAGGCAGAAATCTCAGCTGCTCACCTGAGGCTCACCTGGATTCTCCTTCACTCCTGGCTGCTGGCAGGTGTGGAGCTGGAGCATCTGTTTCCCCAGAGCAGGGGGAAGCCCCTTTTTTCCTGGAGTGTCTCGGGCAGGTTCTGGGAGAGCAGATCTGGGAGAGCAGTGACTAACAGTCCAACCTCTAGGTGACTGGGATGGATTGAGAGGACTTCCTTGTCTGCTGGCTTTGCAGGCAGGAGCTGTTCAGCTGCCAGCTAAGCTAGGGAGTCTGTCCTTCCCAGTGATGTGTGTGTCTGTCCACTCTGCCACTGGGTGACACTGGCACAGGCAGCCTGCATCTGCCTTGCACATGGATGCAGCTCCATAGGAAGGACACAAAGTCTTCTACACTTTAAAGGTTCCTTGGCCATATGCCACAGCCTTTCCCCTTGGTTGTGTGACGCACGTGTCCATTGTGTGTGTCACGCGCGATGCCGCTGCGTGTGGCACTGGGCTTTTTAGCACAGAAACCCCCGTGTCACAGCCCCAGCTCTGCCAGGCTGCTCGCACCGATCCCGTCAGCCTGCGGTGCCGCTCCTCTTATGCGAGACTACTGCTGGCACGCTCGCAGATCATTCCTGGGGGCTCCTGCCAGCTCCATGGAGGCAGAGCTAGAGCTGTGTGGGTGTGTATCTTAATTCTTCATTTCCTGTTTTTCAGAAGTTTTGAGTTTAGCTGCACAGTTTGGAAAGGCAAAAAAAAAAAAAAAACCAACCGAGAAATCTTAATTCTGCTTCAGCAAAGTACTATGTTATTAAAGCGTAGCCAGAGCTGGCACATAGAGCTGAGGTTGTATGAGGCTGTCTCTTGATAAAATGCCTTGTTTTCAGTTGCTGACCAATATCTTATTCCCCAATATCTGCCCTTGTTATGGTGCCTATATATTGGAGTTGACTCACCTCCCATCCCTTTGACATGTTGCCCAGACTGAGCTCTTTAAATTTGTCACCAAAAAACATTTTTTCAAGCCCTCAAGTCATTTCTGTGGCTGTCTCTGCCTCCTCTCTGGTTTTGTAATACCTTTAAATATTTGGTAGATCACAGAGAGGGGCGGAAATGGAAGAAGCCTGGACACAGGCTGGGAGCCCAGCCAGAGGGTACAGCGGGTGGGTAAGGAAGACATCTGTAGCACCAGGAATGTGCTTCCTTCTGGGATGTGCATGGAAGCTGGGACTTCCCGAGTCTCGGCATTCCTGTCCCAGGTAGCAAACAGCCTGTCTTCCTTGGGTGGTGGTGGTCTGCGCTCAGATTGTCCTCACTGGGCATGAAGGTCTTTGTGAGCAGTCTTGTTAAGCCTAGTACAGAGGTTACAGCAGTTTGCTTCCTTCCTCAGAAATACCTGATTTTCCTCCCTGTCAGGACAGTTGTCAGCTTTATCTGCACCCCAGCCGTGTGTCTTAAGGTGTGACAAGCTAGCGGATGCTACTAGCACAGGCTTTTTTCTTCCTTCCAGTTCTGTTATTTTAAATCTAGAAGTTATATTTAAAATGTAACCCTAGCTTTTAATCTTAAGCCTCAATGTTTAGGATGTGCCAGACATGGGGAAGGATCTGTGGTTTCACAGCAGGATGCTGCCCTTCCTCTGGCAGGGTGTATCTGCGTCACGGTGGGCAAGCCAGAGAGGTGGAGACTTTCCACAGTTCACTGTTTGCGCCTTTCTTATTATACAGCGTGCGGTTTGGGAAAGCTGTAGAAGTGTTCACGCTGCGTTGAGAAGCGTTGGGGTTTGTGTGGTGGCCAAGGGGCTTCGAGAGGGCTGAATGTGATGTGAGGCCAGGCCCTGGCATCTCAGAGGTCTTGGAGTCAGAGGCTTTGTGGTCTAAGTCATCAGTCTGTCAAGGGGGATACGCCACAGGTTGTTGGGAAGGTCTCTTAGTTGTTTCTTGGCCATTTAGGCAGAGTGCTTCAGAGAAAAACACAGGAAGAAACTAATTTTTGTTGCTGAGTTTGGGGTTTGTGTAAAGCAAGCATCAAAAGAGGCATGAGGTCTTGGTCTGCCACATGGGGCTGAGCCCCAAGGAAACCACAGCATGTGACTGCACCCTGAAAGCGGTGTCCGAAGGAAGTGCGCGGAGGCAAATCCAGGTTGAACTCGTGATGAGTAAGTTTAGCCCTCATGTGTTTGTGTTCCTGAATTTTACATCTCTCACATTCCTCTGAGGCAGAGTTTGTGTGTGTGGTTGTATGTGCTGGAAGCGATGCCTGGGGTGATGGCGCATGTGATGTGAGGAGCAGTTGCGCTGGTGCAGGGCAGCTGGGGATGTGGTTGGCCCTCTGTGAGACAGCGGAGATGGCAGAAAGCACCAGGCACTGTCCCTAGCTCAGCCCTGCTGCGGGTCCTAACCCTGGGTGCAGGGAGCCTGTGAGAGACAGCTCCAGGAGCTTCCTTTTGGCCTTGGAAAGCGACCTTTTCGGTGCTCCTTGCAGATTCGTACTGTGAAACGCTGCCCATAGATGGCCCTCCCTCTTTCCGGGGACAGTCGGTAAAGTACGTGTACAAGCTGACCATTGGCTGCCAGCGTGTCAACTCCCCCATCAAGCTCCTGCGTGTGCCCTTCCGTGTCCTGGTGCTGCACGGTAAGGCCACACACTGCCCTCCCTGCAGACACAGGCCCAGCTGCACCCTGCCTGGCTGACACTCTCGCCTTTTCCCCAGGGCTCAAGGATTACCAGTCCTCACAGGATGAGGCTGTTGCGCCCTCAAACCCCTTCCTGGAGGAAGAGGAAGGCTTGAAGAAAGACTCACACCTGGCGGACCTGGCAACAGAACTGCTCATGGTGGCCACCTCCCGACGCAGCCTGCGTAGGTCATATTCCCTGCTTGAACCTGCTGTCCTAACCCGGGTGTGAAGCACAACTCGGGGCTCACCACAAAAATCTCTCACTGGCAAACCCAAGCTATGACTGAGGCTGTGGAGCAGCTCCATCAGAGCCTGCTAGGGTCAGAGATTCCCACGGACTCCTCCCTGCTCATCTCAGGCTTTTCCTCATTCAGCCAGAGAGCCCCCCTCTCCCCAGCATATCACAGCTAGCATGTGGTTTGCTCTTGCTCACTGGAGGCGTTTCCCAAAGGGAATGCTGCCTTCAGGGCCTGTCTTTGACACCCAAGCAGCAGGCGTGTCTGCAGGGCTCTGTGATTAACCCAGAGAGTGGGTTAATGTATGAAGCGTGTGTGGAGGAAAGCCTCATCCCGTGGCAACCCCTTCGCCCCCCTCTTGTTTCTCCACAGACCTGTATAACATCAGCAACACTCGTGGGAAGGTGGGGACATTCTGCATCTTTAAGACCGTGTATAAGATAGGAGAGGATGTCATTGGGACCTTTAACTTTTCAGAAGGAGACATCCCATGTCTGCAGGTCAGTGCTGGCTTGGGGTTCACTGTGGGGAGAGGCAGGGGTTTGGGGTAGGGGAGAGGGAGAAGGGATTGGGGTGGCACTGGGCTGCTGTGGGGTTTCTAGTGAGGGTTTCTAGAGGGACGCAGCTGAGCTCTCCTTGGGGTGTGAGGTAGGGAAGGGCTCCAGTTCTGAGCTCACTTGGGAAAGGGAAGCCCTGGGGCGTTGTGTCAGGTGTGTGTGAGTGTGTGAGAGCGAGCACCCTGCCGATTGCCCTGCAGTTCTCAGTGAGCCTGCAGACAGAGGAGAGCATCCAGGAGGAGTTCCAGCGCCGGCGAGGGCAGCCGGGCGCCTTCAGCACGCATGCCCGCCATCAGGAAGCCTGCCTGCACACAGCACAGAGCAGCTTCAGCCTGCCCATCCCGCTCAGCTCTACCCCAGGATTCACCACCAACATCGGTTAGTGGCCACCAGGGAAGGGACCAGCTCTTGCTGGCCTCCACAGTCCTCCTGCCATGTCCCCAGCCCTGCCTTCACTACCCTGCAGGGCTGTGTCAGGTGGAAGGGAGCTGGCCTGCATGAGTGGGCTTATTTCCTTGTCCCCTTGGCAGGACAGCCAGAGCTGAGACAGCTGCTGTCCCCATACCTTGTGGTGTTTGCTTCTGACCTCTCTCTTGCCCACAGTGTCCCTGAAGTGGAGGCTGCACTTTGAGTTTGTGACCTCCGGGGAGTCGGCGGGGACTTGCTTGGTTCGTGGGAGCCAGTCAGAGGCCGTCACCTGGACTGGGGTGGAGCAGATCGAAGTGGACACTTTCAGCTGGGACTTGCCCATCAAAGTCCTTCCCACCAACCCTATCTTGGCTTCCTACGTGTCTCAGTTCTCCAGCACCAACTCCATCACCATCTGAAGTGGGGAGAGCTGGTAGGGACCTGCGGTGCTACCAGTGGGAATGATGGGCAGGACTGTCACCACCGTGCTGCGGGGCACAGACCCACTGTCCCCTTGAGTTCATCCATGGTGCCCAGGTGGGCACTGGGCAGGTCTGTCCTGTCTGTGGGTGGAGGAGCACTCCCCTTCCTGCGGTGTCTTCTGCTTCAGCCATCAGCCTGGAGCCAGACCCTTCCTGCCTGGGTGAAAGCGTGAGTCCCAGCACTCAGTGAAAGTAAATCTGCCTCCCAGGAAGGGCCTCACCTGCCTTTACCCCATGAGGGGCTTCCAAGAAAAGGCCTAGCCCAGGGAAGGGAGAGGGGAACTCTTCAGCAAAGCCCCATACCAGCCTTGGGTGAAGGCCGTGCCCCTACAGAGAGACGAGGTCTGGCAGACCTCCTCCCCACGAGCAGAGGAGGTCTGGCATCCAGGTGAGGCTTGCTGGCCACCTGGGCCAGGTGGAAGCCTGTTCTCCTGCCCCAGCAGGCATCCTGCCTCTTGTGAGGGGTGTCCTATGTGCACAGCCCGGTGTCCCCACTATCCTCACCCAAAGGAGGCAGGTTCTGGCAGGCCAGCCCTGTGCTCCTGGGACATGCTGGTGTCCTGGACGCAACCATGTGCTGTGGCAGCATGATGGTGGAGAAGGACTGAGCACCTGGGCTGTTCTCTGCCTGCGCTCCTGGCCGCAAAGGCATCCTGCTGGTCTCGGGATCCTTGGGGAGCTGGACTGAACATGTGCTGTATGTTCAGGAACTGGGGTGGAGGTCTCCCTGCTCAACAGCCAGCTCCCAGTTTTCTAGCAAACCTTTCAAAGAATTTTCCTCTTTGCATGGAAATCTAATAAAACATCTGATTGTGCAGAACTTGGCTTTCCCAAGAGCCTTATTCCCATACCCTTCCACCCTTCCCCATGGTGGACGCAGCCCACCCGGCATGACAGTGACAGGCTGGAGACCTCCTCTTTGTTTAATATCTTTTATTGCAAGAACAGAAACATCTACACAAGGCTCTGCACAACACAGGCATGGCACCGGCTGGGGCAGGGCTGCCAGGGCGGCCGGCTCCACCCTGGCACACGCAAATTGCTTCTGCTTCCTGAACCCCGGGCAGGGCACCCAGCTCCCCTCCCTGCTCCCCTGCAGCTGGGATGGGGACCTCCACTGGGGACATCTTCCGGTGGTCCCCCCCAGCTCTGCCCCCTGCCCCGGGCTGGCTCCATTGCAGTGTTGCCCAGGGCCAGTCTGCAGTGCCGGGGATCCCCTCCGGCCCTGGGAGCTGCAGGAGCAGGGGCATTAGTGGTTCCAGAGATGGGTTGTTGCCCCTCATGCTCCGGGGCAGAGAAGGGGCTGGCCAGGGTGCTTCCCAGCCAGCTCCCAGTGGCTGCCGTGCAGGGGGACGGGGGTCTTGGTGGGAGGAGGGAGCTGCTTGGCTCAAGGCTGGATGTGGGAGTACAAGACCGCAGAGATGTGGGACAATTTGATCCCGTACCCTGCATCTGGATGTTTCTTGCCCACCTGGGAAGAGATCCGGTGGGATCTGCCTGCCCGTGGCGCTTAGGGCATCTCATGGGGAGGGGTCCGTGGCTGGGTTCAGGAAGCTGCTGGAGGAAGCAAAGCCGTGCCGTGGCGGCGTTAGGGTGTGAACGTTAACTCGGTACCATAGTGTGCGGATAGTGGTTTCCCTCAAAGGTGGCAGCAGTGACGTCTCTACGGGACGGGGCAGGCCTGGAGCATGCGGGAGGTGTGCTCTGGAGGAGGGAGGATGATGCAGGGGGCAGGGGGGTGTGGGGTGGGACACGGGGTGCCACCAAGCCTCTATCTGCTCAGCCCCGCGCCCAGCACCTTGTTGCTGAGCGGCTCGGGGGTGCCGGCCGAGCCCCACTCGTGCTCCATGCTCTTCACGCAGGGCAGGCTGGGGTTGGCCTTCTGCACCACCGAGATCTGGCAGGTCTGCGAGTCGTAGTGGGCCTCGCACCAGTCGGGGAAGTCGATGGGGTGCTGGGTGCTGTGGGAGAGGGCACGATGCTGTCAGCTCCCCCTGATCCATGCCAGGGGGTTGCTGGCAGGGCTGGGTGGCTTCCTCCTCTGCCAGCGTGTCTTCCAGGACAGATTGGGCCACCAGCTCCTGGCATCTCGCTTTTGGCTTCCCAGCTCACCCCACCACCCTCCGTGCCCTGCTGGGCTCCTGCCCACCTCTGCCCCTTGCCACCAGACCTCCTGGCCGTGGCAGGGCAAGCGTCACCCCCTCCCGTCACCCCTCTGCCCCTCACTCACGTCTCGCAGCAGCCCACGCCGATGGGGTGCAGGCAGGTGCAGAGCAGGCAGTTGGTGCTCAGCCAGGACTCCCCCAGGGAGAACTGCTTCCCCTCGTACTCGCAGGGAGCTGCAAAGGAAACGGTGGCCGTGGGCACATGTGGGCCTTGTGCCACCATGTGTGGAAGCCCCCTCGGCACCCCTCTGCCTTCAGAGAGGGGACAAGGGGGGATGTCGTGGCCTCCCACCCACACCATGGTACAGCAGATACTTGGGTGTCCTCTCCACCACTCTACAGGTATGGAGTGCCCAGGTGATGCTCCCATCCATCCTCTCCTGACCATGCCCTGCTGCTCTCCCTACTGCCCCCAGGGGCCCAGGGAAGAGACAAGTGGCTCCTGCTTCCCTGGAGAGCACGTATAGAATCATAGAATGGTTAGGGTTGGAAGGGACCTCAAAGATCATCTAGTTCCAACCCCCCTATCCAGCACCCCTTGGGGTCTGAGCATCTCTGCAGCCCTGGAAGGAGGCGGCAGAGGAAAGACGGGCAGCCCTCCTCCCTTTGCTGCTGGTCCTGCACGCTCGGCCCCAGCCGGGCTTCTGCCAGCAGCTCTTCGTGGCCCAGCTAGCTGTTTCTCAGCCAGAGCCCTGGGGAGCTGTTCTGTGGTTTATAGGCTGCTCCTTCCACTCATCACTGGCCCACGGTCGCGCTCCCTGAGTCCAACACAGTCTCCCTTCCCAGGTAGGCAGGGCACAGCCCCACCGCCCCGGGGGGGCAAGCTGAGGCCTCCTCATCCCATCAGCATCTTCCCGGCTCACCTCCCCGCTTACCTTTAGCCTGGAAGTAGCATTTGGCCTGGGATCCCGGCAGCTGGAGGAGGAGGGAGAGCAGCAGGCAAAGCCTGCCCCAAGCGCTCCCCATCTTCTGCACTCGCATGGCCATGGCCGAGGTTGAGCTGGGCTTCTTCACCGAGGTTGCCTTGCTTCTCTATTGCCTTTGCTCCTTTCCCTTCTCTTTCTCTCTCTCTCTCTCTCTCTCTCTCTGCCTCTTTAATGCTCTTCCCCTGATCCCAACAAGAGATATTTATAAAGTTCAGCTTTACGACCCTGGCCACCAGCTGTGCCCCACTGGAAAAGTTGTAAAACTCATTTCCTGATTTGAAAGGCATGAAAACAAGAGGTAGGATCAAGATTTTTAACAAGCTGTGAAAAGCTGATTCATGCCCTCCAGAAATGTCTCCAGTTGGAAGCCCCTGTGGGTGCAAGGCTCCAAGGGACCCCAGCGGGGTCACCCTCCGCAGGGTGGTGAGCATGCAAGTGGCGAGTGCGGGACACCCTGGCCCCCAACCAAGAGAGCTCCAGGCTTCCCTGTGGTCACGCTAAGCCCTCTCTGATCCTTCACAGCAGTCAAGGTTTTGGGAGCATCCCATCTCCCAGGGACTGGAGCGGCACAGGCATCCTATTAACAGCTGGTGTGGGATGCATGGCACTGTCCTCAGCAGGGATGGAGATGCTTGGACCCAGCTCCCGGGTACCACAGCAGGGCAGTTTCACCCCAGCCTGGGCTGCAGCACTGCTAGGCTTGTGACCATGCACATGTTGGGGGTGGCAGCAGGATTTTTTGGGCCAAGAGCAGGCAGTATGGCCATTGCCACTGATATGGAGAGGATGAGGAAGGCTCTGCATGAGGCGTGACCCAGGGCTCATCTGAGGGGTGCCTGTGACAGCAGGGCTGGGCAGCACCCTCCAAACATCATAGCTGAGCAGCCCCTTTCAGAGGCTGGAGACTGGCCCCAGCAGAAACAGGAAGGATGAAATCAGGAGGTGAACATGCATTTGGGCAACAAGTGACCCGAGAGGAAACAGAGGGCTTGACTGGACTCAAGAGGCCATGGGAAGATGACACACCACCCAGGGGACACAGCTGCAGTCCCCACAGACCCTTACCCAGAGGGGCTTCCTCCGGGTTGAAGCGATAGGGCCGTTATCAGCAGGCAAAGCGAGGGGATGGGTGAGGTGGAGGAGGTCAGAGCCCAGGGAGCCACGCGGCCCCTGGGGAGCTGCAAGAGAAGGGGTGAATTGCCAAGAGAAATTTGCAGCCCTCCTCAGAGGTGCTGCCGGCAGCAGGAAACGGGGCTCCGGGGACGGTCCAGCCAGTGGCTCCGGCAGCGAGGCGGCGGCAGCGGTAGCGGTAGCAGATGTGGGTCATCTGCCCTCGCGTTAATCTCCCTACTTTCTGAGAGTTTGGGATAGGTTTACACCCTGACGCGTGAGGCTTAATATCCCTTCCAGAATTTGTGTTGGCGTCTGCTATTATAGCTGGATATTTTTGCTATCCCCATAAATGTCCAATCCTTTCTTGAATCCCGCTAAATTTTGGCCTGAGCGTTTTCCTGTGGCAGCCTAATTAAGCGTGGAGTGAAAAAAAAAAAAAAAAAAAAAAAAAAAAAAAAAAAAAAAAAAAAAAAAAAAAAAAAAAAGCTTCCTTTTATCCTCTTTGGATTTGCCACCTTTGGATTTGAAGGTGCTGCTGCTCCGGGCCCCCTCGCTGCCCTGTTGCATCCCCATCCTGCATCTCGTGCTCTCACCTCCGAGGGAGCAGCCTCAGCTTTAGCATTCCCCTCTCCCCCTTCGAAGAATTTCCCCCAGCCCTCCTGTCGTGCCCCTCTGGGTGACACCATGCCCCTCTGTGTGGGGTGACCGGATGGCAGCAGGGGTGGGATGGGTTGGAAAAGGCTGATAACAAAGCAGAGAAGCTCGGGTCACCCATGAACAACCTGCCAACCGCGGGGCCTTGAGCGGGGACGGAGTGTATCAGTGACAAATGAAAACTCGCCCTTTGGTGCAGAGTTGTTACTATATAAGGAGGATAAAAGCGTTCGTCGTAGGAGCAGTAAATGAATATTCCTATTGTGTGTTTGGAAAAAGAAGTCTGGCACGCTAGTAACCACAATGAAATAATCCATCATCGTTTCATCACCGAGTACAGCAAATGTTAAACAAAAGTGGTGGGTTTCGTTTGGAGGCCTGCTGGTTTGGCCAGGCTTCCAGAAGGGCTCTGGGATGTGAGGGTCCCTCAGCTGTGTGGAGGGGCACTGCCCCTGCTCCGTCAGGGGCACGGGGAGGCATTCCTGACATTTCTGTAGCCATTCTGGTTTCCTCAAAGAGAGAGTTAAGGCTACCAGCCCACTCGTGGCCTTTGGGTATTTCATCAAAGCAGTTCACTGGGTAAACTCAGAGGAGGAGGAGGAAGGGTCAGGACACCCCTTGGCACGTTGCAGAGGGGCCTGGCAGTGATGCCAGGCTGTGGCTGTGCATCGGGGGACGGGGCTGTTGGTCCCCCCACAGCCTGTCAGACCAAATCTTTGCCCTCCTGCCCACTCTTCTTCCCCCAGTTTTGCACCCCTGGGCATCCTCCTGGCCCCAGCACACACCCCCATGGGGGTTCCAGAGCATTTCAGTTACGGCTCATGCAGGAGGGGGCTTGTAGCTTCAAAAGCAGCAGCTGCTGGAGTTGGACTTGGTGCTTGAGATCTTCAGCTCGGGTACCCAAGGGATGCTCTGGCTGGAGGAGCTGACACCCTCTCCAGCTGTGCTAGCCCAGAGGTGGTTTTTCACCAGAGACTGAAAAGGGGCAGCTGGTTCTGGTGCTTATGTCTCAGGGGGACAACTGAGGCCTGAGGAAGAGCCACAAAAGGGATGTAGGGGCTGGAAGAAGTACCTTGCCCTAACATCAGTCACTTTGATTTATCAGACAGGGAGCAACAGCAGCAGGGGACTGACTGCATGTCCCATCATGCCAGTGAGGAGCAGTCACCACCCTTGAGCTGGGACCCCATAGAAGGTCATATTCATGTCCCAGCTTCCCCTCGGCAGAACCTAGCTGCTCCTGCCTGTCCTGGCTCGGGGATGGTGGCTGTGCCCAAGCAGACCTGGGTGCTGCACCCCACTGAGGGTAGGGCATTGCTGGCCTCCACTCCAGCAAGGGCTGGGAGCTCCCTCTGAAGAGCTGCTGTTCGAGCCCCTCATGCCAGAAGGTGGGACCCTATGGACAGGGCAGGGGCCAGTACCCAAACCGGTAGGTGCTGGGATGGGGTGACAACAGCCCACCCCAGCCCTGCAGGAGGTGGGGGGGGGGTGGTAATAAATGATACTGGACAAGTTGCCACCAGCAGGATCCAGGAGTGTTATAAAACCTGAATCTCCTGAGCCTTCAGCTGGGGCTGCAGCTGCAGAGCAGGAAGCAAACAGGATCCCGGCTGGCATTGTGAAAGCAAACACCATAAATCCGAGGAAGTGCTGCGATTGCTGTTTTAGGCACTGGGGAGCTTGGCTCTTGCTCCCCACAAGCACTTTATTTTCTCTCTAAACAGCAAAAAAAAAAAAAACCAAACCAAAAACAAACCCAAACCCAACCAACCCCAACTTATCACTGGGCTGAGCTGAGCTGCCCCAGCTGGAACCCAGTGCTGCCTTGTGCCCTGGGGCGGTTGTGGGATGTGGGCACCTCTCCTCAGCCAGCGCCTGGAAGATGCTTCAAGCCACAGAGCCCCCAGGACACTGGGGCAGGGTGCAGGCAGGGTGCAGGCAGGATGCAGGCAGCACAAAGGCAGACACCAGCTCTGAGCCACGTCCACTCACCTGAACACTCAGTGCTCATGGGAGCAGCCAGACCCCAGGAAGAGCTGAGCTGGAGGGTCAGAGGCAGATGGGCCACCAGGAGCCAGGAGCGGGGACATAGGAGGCAAAAGGCTACCTTGGGAATGAGAACCAGCTTGCTCCATCCTTCCTCCTGCAGCTGGTAAGCCAGATGGGGCAGCTCCCAGAGTCTGGAACTACAGGTGGGATCAGAGTCCACCCCTCCAGGACTAAAGCAATGAGGCTGTTGCTTCAGAAAGGGGACAAAGTAGAAGGGACATGATGAAAACCTTGATGTCACCTTACTCTGCCAGCTGGGCTGTCCACTGGATGGAGCTCTGAGCCACTGGAGAAGCGTGAGACAGGAGGTGTGCTGGAATGCTCTGCATGTCCCATGGGTGTCCCCAGCCTCAGACCTCACACCCCAGCCCTTCTCACAGGGGCGAGCTGTTTCCAGCCCCAGGTTGGGCAGTGTTTCGCAGGGGCTCTACAAGCCTAGGTTAGATGTTTTCTGTGTTCTCTCAGTCATGGGTTGGGGTCTCTAATTGGGATGGTGTCCATGGATGCCCAGCCATGGGACAGGGTCTGATGAGGGATGGTGTCCACGGGTCCCCAGCCATGGGATGGGGATCTGTAATGGGATGTTGTCCATGGATCCTCAGTCATGGGATGGGGTCTACTGAGGCGTGGTGGCTGTGTGTCTCCAGCCATGTGGAGTGAGTAATTGGAATGGTGTCTGTTGGTCCCCAGCTGTTGGATGGGCTCTGCCCACCCCAGGCTGGGTGCCTCCTTCTTGCAGGTGGTGGCAAGTGGGACTCTGGACAACCCTGTGCCATGGCTCCCTCAGGCTCCTTCACTCTCTTGCATTCCCTTGCATGGCCTCATCCCCCCTTGCTTTCCCCCATGCTCCTTCCCCCTCTATTCTTTGGCATCCTCATGGGCCGTTTATCCCAGCTATGGTTGCTCCGTGCCAGGACAGGTTTTGGCACCAGTGGGTTAGCCACACACTCCTGCTCTCCTCACCCTGGCAGGGTGCTGGCACCCACCCTGGCACCCCGGCACCCCAGGTACCCCAGCACCTTGGGTGTGCTGCTGCCCGTGGCTCTGCCCTGGCCCCCCTGGAGGGAAACGTGCCGGGAGGGAGCGGGGTGTTTAGGAAAACACTCCTTGGCACTTGCTGGCCATCCCAGGAAAATAAAAACATCCGGGCGGGCAGCCGCGCAGCGAGTGCGAGAGGCCGGCACTCCATAAATCCCCTGGAGCAGGTGCTTTGTAGTCGGCACAAGGAAATGAGCACATTATTCA